TTGGGGAGTGAACCATTGGATGGACGACCTCTCTCTCTCTCTCTGCATCTCCTCTCTCTGTGTAACTTTGACTTTCAAATAAATAAATAAATCTTAAAAAAAAAAAAAGTGGGGCCAGCGCTGTGGCACAGTGGGTTAACACCATAGCCGGCATCCCATATGGGTACTGGTTGGAGACCCAGCTGCTCCACTTCTGATCCAGCTCTCTACTATGGCCTAGGAAAGCAGTACAAGATGGTCCAAGTGCTTGGGCCCCAGCACCCCTGTGGGAGATCTGGAAGAAGCTCCTGGCTCCTGGCTTTGGATTGGTACAGCTCCAGCTGTTGCCACCAACACTGGGGAGTGAACCAGCAGATGGAAGACCTCTCTCTTTCTCTCCTCTCTGCCTCTCCTCTCTCTGTGTAACTCTGACTTTCAAATAAATAAATAAATCTTTAAAAAAAAAAAGTTAATGGAATGCAATGTTTTAGCAGAAGTTCAAAAAAATCAGAGTACTAGAGCCAGATGGTATTTGTAACTTTCCTAAGGACTTTACTTGTATAATATTTTAAAATTTTACTTATTTTTTGTTAATGTTCTACATTAATATAGCTTAAAAAGTCAAAAAACATTAAGCAAACTTAGAAAAATAAAAGGCAAAACGAAGATTATTAGTCCTGGAGTAGGCATTTGGCCTAGTTAAGATGCCAGTTAAGACCCCGTGTTTCAAATCAGAACGCCTGAGTTCAGTCTCTGGCTCTGTTTCCTGATTCCAGCTTCCTGCTCAGGCCTATCTGGGGACGCATTAATGACAGCTGAAGTAATGTGGTTTCTGCCACCCTTTTGGGAGACCTGGATTGCTTTCCTGGCTCCTCGTTTCTGCCTCAGTCCCAGTGGATGGGCGTTCTCTGTCTTTTTCTCCCTCGCTGTCTCTCTGCCTCTCAAATAAAAAAAAAAAAACAAAAACAAAAACAAAAACACTTCTCAGTCCCATCCTTGTTTCCATTCCTCTCAGTACCTCTACCCCCACAGGCAACTACTATTCTCAGTTTCTTAGGAAATCTTCCTCAGGCTCTTTATGCAAACAAACAAGAAACACGCAAAAAGCCCTATATTTTCACTTAGGGTTTAGAGTCTTAAAAAAAAACATGGCGTTAAACACTCAACATCCTGTTGAATGCCATGTAGCTTTAGAACAGTTAGCATCACTAAGAGCTGTGATTAGAGATGATAGCATTATAAATGTGGACATTAGAACTGGAAATTCTCTTTGATCAGGTGTTTGCCCTAGTTAAGGTTGTCATGACTTTTCAAAGCACAATTCCTGGAGGATTTTCTCATGCTGTCAGGCCTCCTTGTGGAGTCAGATTGGCGATGCTCTTTTTGGCCAAGGCTCTTGCTATTCCTAATTGCTGAAGCCACCGTTTCTCTTTAAAGGCACTGCAAAAGAAACAAGACAGAATTTATAAAGGAGGTCCAATCTTGTCCCTGTACCTGGCTGAATGGAAATCTGAGGCTGATTTGGTTGCTGTGCCTGGTTTATTTTATCACATAGGCAGGATGGGAAATAGAAATAGGAATCTCTCTAAGATCATTCCTTGTGATACAGTAGGGATGTTCCTTTCCCAAGGCAATATTGCACGTCCAGAACTCACCATTAGAAACAGAGAGACCGTCAATGTCACATAGAACTCTCTGGGGTACAGCTTTTTCAATCTGTCTTCCCTAAGCCTCCCTATATATCACATACTCCTTGAAATTTTCTCCATTCTGTCAAAAACACATTAGCGTTTTTGACTGAAAAAAAAAATAATAGATATATTTGATGGTCTTTAACTGAAATGCAATGGAGCTTAATGTTTTATGGTACATATACCATAGTATGTATGTATGTAAAATATGGCTACATACTAATAAGATTTGTAAATTTTGAATATTATTTCTCCTACTTTGTGATGCAAATCTCATTCATTACAGAGGGATTTTATATCCCTTTGTTCCTCTTCCCTTTTTGTACCCTCATTCTGGGAGACCTTATTTACTCCTTTCTTCAGTTTCTATTTCCATGACTCTAAGATCTTTCTTAAAAGTTGCATAGCTCCAATTACCAAATAAAATATTTATCTCATAGATTTTCCTAATTTAATATACCTTTTAACTTCTTTGTAAACTTGTTCCCCTTCAGTATCCTTGTTCTAACACACTGACTTTGCTTTCCTCACCATCTCTATCCAAAGGTGGAAAACTCAATTCCTTCTTTTTCTGTTCCCATAATGAATTAGTGACATAATTTTGCAAATTATTCCCCTGAACATTTCTCTTATTTGGCCTTTTCCCTTCTCCCTAACCATTACTGTTCTGGTCTAGGTCTTTGTTGTCTCTTAATTGTCTTATTGTGGCCTCCCAAACCTATTGTAGTCTTTCCACACCTTTCCAGTGAGACTTCCATTCATTGTCACTAAATTTGTCTTTAAAAACTGATTATGTGGCCGGCGCCGCGGCTCAACAGGCTAATCCTCCGCCTTGCGGCGCCGGCACACTGGGTTCTAGTCCTGGTCAGGGGCGCCGGATTCTGTCCCGGTTGCCCCTCTTCCAGGCCAGCTCTCTGCTGTGGCCAGGGAGTGCAGTGAAGGATGGCCCAAGTGCTTGGGCCCTGCACCCCATGGGAGACCAGGAGAAGCACCTGGCTCCTGCCTTCGGATCAGCGCGGTGCGCCGGCCGCAGGGCGCTGGCCGCGGTGGCCATTGGAGGGTGAACCAACGGCAAAAGAAGACCTTTCTCTGTCTCTCTCTCTCTCACTGTCCACTCTGCCTGTCAAAAAAAATAAAAATAAAAATAAAACTGATTATGTGATTTACCTTCTAAAAGTTAACTTCTGTGAACTTCCCACACACTCACCTCCTACCCCATAGAAAGGGGAATAGGGAGAAAGCTCTGCGCTTGGGTACATGAGCTGCTTCTTAATGTAGGTACACTCTACTTTGCCATTCACATCTCCAGACAATTCTGGATCCCCCCTAAAATGCCCTTTGCAGATCCACTTGCTATCCTGAAAATGAAATTTCTTACTTGCCCTTCCACAAAACAGTGCCTTTGACTATGTTGCCATATCTATGTGGGTCCTTCTGCTACCCTTTAGTCTGGCAAGTCAGGTTTTGTTTTGTTTTGTTTTTTACTTGACAGGTAGAGTTAAAGAGAGAGAGAGAGAGAGAGAAAGATCTTCCTTCCATTGGTTCACCCTCCAAATGGCCGCTACGGCCGGAGCTACACTGATCCAAAGCCAGGAGCCAGGTGCTTCTCTCTGGTGCAGGGGCCCAAGGACTTGGGCCATCCTCCACTGCCTTCCCAGACTAGAACCTGATGCCCATATGGGATGCCAGCGCCACAGGCGGAGGATTAACCAAGTGAGCCATGGCGCTGGCCCCCGGCAAGTCAGTTTTTAAAGGGCTTTTACTCAGTGTAAAAGTATTAGGCACAGCTTTGCATAAAAGTACAGTAGTGTTTCAGACATTTGTCCCAGGTCCATGTCTGTCTGATTTAACTTTTGTTATGTGTTAACTCCTTCACCTCAATGGGCCTACTTCCCTGGGCCGTCTAAATTGGGTGAACCCATTCATGCATCCCATGAAAATCACCTCTTAAGCTTTCAGGAACTCACTCGGGCTTCTTTATTTAGCCTTTCCTCATAGTCCAGGTGATTTAATTTGAAATTCTGTCTTGCATTCTGATGCATCCTAATTCCTCCTAAACTCAGAGCTTATACTGATTCTCTTCTTGGCATTTGAAACCTGTTTTTTCTGCATTATTTGAAAACTGTTTATTAAACACTTATTGTTCTATTTGCTGGAGATACAAAATGTGAACAAAACATACAAGGTATGCCCCTTTATAAAGAAAGAAACCAGAGACTTCTATCCAGAGCATGGAAGATTGAGATTACCACCTGTACTCAGTCCACTGAAACCCTAAGCCTTCTGAGTCGCTCACACATTTGAATGCTCATGAAACTGGACTTTCAGGCCACATAAACCTCACTGGATTTGGGTAATAAGCAATAAGGAAAACTCTTTTCTACATATGCTTTAGAGATACCCTTTTATCTGGGTAAAGCCCACCCCATCTTCCTGGCTGAGGAATGAGACTGTGTGACCTCCTGGACTCACGTTAACTCTTCACCAACCATATGCACTCTCCAATGCAGACTCCACATCAGTCTGAGCTAACTGCAGCAATACCATCTTTGAATCAAGTCCAAGAGGTGTATTTTCATGAATCCAGAGTTCCCGAGCAGCATAAGATACAGCAAGCACTTTCCCATGATGCCAGCTGAAGTATCACAAGTCTTGATTTGGGAGACTGTCGCTCCCCCTCTTCGTGGAGGAACGACACAAGATCCTGCGCTGTTCTTTTGTCTGCTCGGCCCTCCCCGGGTTTGCTGCTGGTTCTTCCCGGGTTGGCTACTGTCCCTTCCACCTCCGTGGAAGGGCGGTTCCCCCTGGCCACTTTCCCCACTTCCACAGGGGAGCAGCACACTGCCAGCCGGCTCTCTCGGGGGCTGCACAGGTGTTCCCTCAGATGTTCCCCTTAGATGTTCCTGGTGCATGCCGTCTCTCTCCTCCTTTATAGTCCTCCTCCGCCAATCCCAACTCGGCTGCCCACACGCCGAGTACGCTGCTCTCCTCCAATCAGGAGCAGGATCAGCTCCTGGAGGTCAGCACTCAAGTTGGCAAGAGGCAGCTGCATAGAAGCTGTTTTCTCCTCTCCCAGTGCCATATTGTGGGAGAGCAGATGCATAGACTAAGTCTTAATTCCAGTAACTCAGTCCAGTCCGGGTTGCTCCCCACAGAAGACTCTACTTCCTATGCAACCAAGAACAACAGATGGCTATTTTGCCCTCCCTGATTGAATTCCATGGGCCAGCATCATGAGGATTACAATAAATTTTTCCTCATCTCCTGGCTATGATACTATCAGGGTGTTTGTGCATGTAGCAATCAAAATAGAGTCTGTATGTTCCTCATGTCTGTCTTTTTGGCACAAGAGCCATTTAAAGATGAGTTCTCAGACCACCTGACTGTATGGCTTGATTGGCTGTTTCAGGTAGAGATAGGTGCTTTCCTGACTCCTGTGAGAGGCATGAATCAGATCTAGAAGAGTTGTGTAGGGGCACAAGACCATTGGTCTCTCTTTCCCCCTCATAGTCCACCAACAAAGAAAGGTGGAATAGATCCAGGGAAAGCAGTGGAAATAAAGGAGAGGAAGTAGAGGGTAGAAGAAGATATTGGGAAAATAGAAACAGAAAGCATTTGCTTGTATTAACTCTGCTAGGGTAAGTCCACAATCAAACTGATCATCTCTCCTACAGATATCCCTTCTGCATTAACCTCTTTTGTTATTTATATTTTTGTTTTATTTGAAAAACAGATCTTGCATGTACTTATTCACTCCCCGAAATCCTCAACAGCCAGGGCTGGGTCAGACTGAAATAAGAAACCCAGAACTCCATCCAGGTATTCTATATATGTGGCAAAAATCCAGGCACTTGAATCAGTATCTGCTGCCTCCCAATGTATGCATTAACAGGAAGCTAGATCAGAAGTGGAGGAAGGCACACCGTCTCAGGGCTGATCCGCGGTAGACATTTGCAGGGCGGCTGACCGGCAGTCTGTGGGCACGCACCGCCTCCTGGGGAAGCCTGCGTTGGCTGTGCAGCTGATTCCTTTGGTCTCGTCGCCATGTCCACCAATGAGAATGCCAACTCACCGGCCGCCCGGCTCCACAGATTCAAGAACAAGGGGAAGGACAGCACCAAAATGAGACGGCGCCGAATAGAAATTAACATAGAGCTGAGGAAGGCTAAGAAGGATGACCAGATGCTGAAGAGGAGGAATGTGAGCTCCTTTCCTGACGATGCGACTTCCCCACTGCAGGAAAACCGCAACAACCAGGGCACTGTACATTGGTCTGTTGATGACATTGTCAAAGGCATAACCAGCAACAATTTGGAAAGCCAGTTCCAAGCTACCCAAGCTGCTAGGAAACTGCTTTCCAGGGAAAAACAGCCCCCTATAGACAACATAATCCGGGCTGGTTTGATTTCAAAATTTGTGTCCTTCTTGGGCAGAACTGATTGTAGCCCCATTCAGTTTGAATCTGCCTGGGTACTCACTAACATTGCTTCTGGGACCTCAGAACAAACTAAGGCTGTGGTGGATGGAGGTGCCATCCCAGCATTCATTTCCCTGTTGGCATCTCCCCATGCTCATATCAGCAAACAAGCTGTATGGGCTCTGGGAAACATTACAGGTGATGGTTCAGTTTTCCGAGATTTGGTTATCAAGTATGGTGCAATCGACCCACTGTTGGCTCTTCTGGCTGTTCCTGATATGTCCTCTTTGGCATGCGGTTACTTACATAATCTGACATGGACACTTTCAAACCTTTGTCACAACAAGAATCCTGCACCCCCATTAGATGCCGTTGAGCAGATTCTTCCTACTTTAGTTCGTCTCCTGCATCACGATGATCTGGAAGTGTTAGCAGTTACATGCTGGGCGATTTCCTATCTCACTGATGGTCCAAATGAACGGATTGAAATGGTTGTGAAGACAGGAGTTGTGCCGCAACTCGTGAAGCTTCTAGGAGCTAATGATTTGCCAATTGTGACTCCTGTGCTAAGAGCCATAGGGAATATTGTCACAGGGACAGATGAACAGGCACAGGTTGTGATAGATGCGGGAGCACTTGCCGTCTTTCCCAGCCTGCTGACTAACCCCAAAACTAACATCCAGAAGGAAGCCACGTGGACAATGTCAAACATCACAGCTGGGTGTCAGGACCAGATACAGCAAGTTGTGAATCACGGATTGGTCCTGTTCCTTGTTGGTGTTCTCTCTAAGGCAGACTTTAAGACACAAAAAGAAGCAGTATGGCCTGTAACCAACTATACAAGTGGCGGAACAGTTGAACAGATTGTATACCTTGTTTACTGTGGTATAATAGAACCGTTGATGAACCTCTTGACTGCAAAGGATACCAAAATTATTCTGGTTATTCTGGATGCCATTTCAAATATCTTCCAGGCTGCTGAGAAATTAGATGAAACTGAGAAACTTAGTATAATGATTGAAGAATGTGGAGGCTTGGATAAAATTGAAGCTCTTCAAAACCATGGAAATGAATCCGTGTATAGGGCTTCATTAAACTTGATTGAGAAGTACTTCTCTATAGAGGAAGAGGAAGATCAGAATGTTGTGCCAGAGACCACCTCTGAAGGCTACACCTTCCAAGTGCAGGATGGGGCGCTGGGAGCCTTTCACTTCTGATCGCACTGCTGAGGCACCAGTCATTTTGTTGTTTGTCTTACTGTTTCTCTACTAAGACCTTTTTTTAAATGTGGTTTGTTATTGTAGCACTTTTACAACAAAATTATACTTGAACAGTTCCAAACTGTACATACTGTATGAAGCTTGTCCTCTGAATGGGTTTCTTACTTCTGTGGAATTTTGTATCTTACAGTGTCCTGTAAATAAAGATAAAATTCCACCCAAAAAAAAAAAAAAAAAGTGGAGGAGCCAGGACTTGAACCAGGCACTCTGATACAGGATGTGGGCATCCCATGGGATGACTTAACCACTGCAACGAATGCCTCCCCCCACATTAACCCCTTTCTTTAATCCAATTTCCTTCTTGACCTTGAAACTGACTTCACTTGATTAACTCCAATCCTTATGAAATATATTTGCAAAAACAGCATGCTGGTATAACCTCTTTAGAAAACTATTTGGAAGTGTTTACTAAAGCTAAATATAAACTTACGATCCAGCAATTAATTCATTCCTAGGCATAGAGTCAAGAGAAATGTATGTAAATGCCCTCCAAACCCAACATACAAGAATAACTGTACATGTTTTTTCTAAATAGCTCCCAAATTAGAAACAAACAATGTCCATCAATAGGAAAATAGGTAGATAAATTAGGGTGTGAAATACAAAATAGAGATGGAATGTTACGTAGAAATAACAATCATTACACACACAGACACCAGTGAACCTCAGAGGCAATATGTGGAGCAAAAAGGGCAGACATAAAAGGTAGATATGCTACAATGTCCTTTATATGAGGTTCAAGAATAGGATAAACTTACCTTTGGTGGTAGGGATCATTGATTGGTAAGGGACAGGAGAGGAAAGTTGGAGACTCTGGAAATAATTTGTATTTGATCTGGGCCGTGGTTTATTGATGTAGGCAAACACAAATAATCAATAGGCTGTACATGTAGGACAGTGCTTCTTATGCACTTTGCTGTATATTTCAGAACTCACTCCCTGAGGAAATATTCCATGTCATAGGCAACTGGCAGCCTTTCTCATCTAAAACCACATGCATGTCCACCTTTGACACATAAATATTTTTACACATTTCCATTTCCATTCTGCCTAACACTTCACTGAGCCATAATAAGCACTTACTGAATGTCTGAAAAATAAACTCATTTTTATTGTTCTTCTGCTGATATAACAAATCATTATTTCCTTTCTTATATTTATGGCCCCATTTAAGATAGTCTATACATGTAATTTTAAAACTAATAATTTTCCTAGGATTTTAGATAACCTCTTTTAATGCATTCTAGTCAGAGATAGCTTATAAATTACAAAGACTGAAGCTGTTAAGCAGTGTCTCAACTACTGTCAACCTCATCTTTGATCTTGAATTTTGCCGCTTTTACAGCCCCAAATACTCTGACCACTAGGTGGCACCAACTTAGCTGAGATTAAAGTTCCAAACTAAAGACTAAATAGAGAGAGGCAAGTAAAACAATGTAGCTTCTTTTTCCTTGCTCCTGATTATATTGAGTAAGGGGAAAGGTCATGCATGAATCTGTATTTTTACTATAATATAGGCATCCACTAATGTAAGTAATGAGTGGCACTTGAGATCTAATCAGAAAATTGTGTTTGCCATGAAATCTGATGACTAAAATTTACCTGATGAAATGAATGTTCCTGAAAAGTCTATTTCTGATGTACTTGCTTCGCTCTTTAAGTGTGATAATGGATTGCCTTTTTAAACTCACTTTAAATATTAATGTCAGTTCTAACACCCCATCCTTCCCTGTCTATCTTGCTCAGTAAGCCAACTTAAGTCTTTATGATTCAATTTGTTATTAAATTATTCCTCTCTTTCCTTCCACTTTCATTACCATCTAGTCTTCAATGATGCTTTTGATGTCTCCCTCTCATATTTCAAGATTGCCTCTTCTCCCTTTAATTATAATTAATAATTTCTTACTAGCTTCAAAGAAAAGTAAAAAGCAGCAGCCATGGGCCTTACTAATTGACACAATTCTGTTTTAAAAAAGATTTATTTATTTGAAATACTGAGTTTGAGAGAGAGAGAAAGAGAGAGGGAGAGAGAGAAAGAGAGAGAGAGATCTTCCATGTGCTGGTTTACTCCCCAGATGGCCACAATGGCCAGCACTGGGCCAGGCCATAGCCAAGAGCCTGAAGCTTCATCTGGGACGCCCATGTGTGTGACAGGGGCCCAAACACTTGGGCCATCTTCCCCTGCTTTTCCCAGGCACATTAGCAGGGAACTGGATTGGAACTGGAGCAGTGGGACTAGAACTTGTACCCCTATGGGATGCCAGCATCATAGGCGCCTGCCCCAGAAACAATTCTTTTCACTGTTCTTTTTCCCTCCTGAAAGTTTGAAGACCAAAGCACTACACAGATTGGGTTGCTCAATAATATCAATTCATTTTGCCCTAGACATGACGCTAGTGAGGTTCTTGAAGCTGGGTACTGATGTATTGGAATAGTTTGTATTACTCTACGTGGCAGAGTAGTTTCATGGACCATTCATTGCACTAGATTAGCCTTATTAAAAGTCTGCCCTTGTAGGGCAGGTGTTTGATTCAGTGTTTAAGGTGATTAGAACTCAGAGTACGTGTGGCCAATGTCTGGCGCTGGCTCCTGGTTTCTGCTAATGCTCACCCCGGGAGGCAGCAGCTGATGGCTCAAGTAGTTGGATCCCTGCCACCCCATGGCAGACATGGACTACATTCCTGGCTCCTGGCGTCTACCTGCCCTGCCCAGTAGCAGCCGTTGCAGGCATTTGGGGAGTGAAACAATAGCTTGGTGCTCTCTCAAAACAAAACAAAACAAAACAACAACAAACAAACCAAACCAAAAACCCCACAAAAACCAAAAGCCCCAAGAGTTTGCCCATGCATGCGTAAAGGGAAAGCATTACCTTGCCATGGCCAGGCAGTAGATTGCATTCTCCCTTGGAGTCCTCCCGCTGTGCTCTGAGAATGATGCAAAGGAGGACTTTCGTAAAAAGTCAGCGCTGGGGGTATAGTAAAAAGATGGGTGTGAATATCCAGCCCTGGAAACTGGAGGGAGGGGCACTTGGGGGAGATATGCATTTTTTAGGAGCTTCTCCTTTTTCCTGGCTGTGGCAATAACTTTTTTCTGATTTTGATGCTGATGTTCTTGTAATACAGAGGATGTATTTGCATCCACCCGTGGAGGAAATTTGAGGGTTTGCTCTTTCGTGTCCGGCTGTGAAATTGCCAAAGGATTGACAGGTGTCCTGCTTGCAGTGTGTTCCATGAGAAGCGGGAGCTTGGGCAAGGTGCTGCGGGAGTCCTTGTTCTCGGCCTGATGCCAGCTCTTGGAGGTCATCTTGGGCTTGGTGAAGCCATCCACCATCACAGTGTCTCCAACTTTGGCCCCAAAGACCCTTGCTCTGCACAGCCGGCTGCTGTGCAGGCTGTGGCTCTGAGCTCTGAGGATCCATTGTTTGATTTTAATGTAAATCCTCATGGGGACTGAGATTTTCAGAAAAGAAACCGTGGACCACATTTTACTCAGCAGATATAACACACAGTCTTTGTGCTTGTGTTTGGACGCGATGGTCAGGGGAGTGCGTCCCGCTGCATCTGTGCATTCCAGGCACAGCACACTGCAGTTGACAAAGGCCTTCAGAATCAGCAGCTGGCCCGCTTCTGCAGCTGCGTGAATGGGGCATTTAGAGATGTCTGCATGAAGGGCTTCATGGCACCAGGCTCGATAGGGGTGAACACCGACCGCCTCGTGGGGCCGCGCGCCCTGCTGCAGGGCCCATTCAGTGAGCTCGACGTGGCCGTGAAAGGCAGCAATGTACAGGGCTACCCTTCTCTGATACCTGAGGGAGTGAATCAAGTGGGAGATGGAGTTTAGTAAGCCGGAAAACAGACTTAATTGTATGTTCTGAACTTTCCAGTTAAAATATTTGTTCCTTTTGCCTAGAACTTGTTTTTAGAAGAGATGTATCATAAATATGAGTATACAGGTTTAACCACACAGGGCCTGCTTGTGTGCATTATCCTGCTATGCACATGTAAATAATGCAAACTGGTTTCCTTGGAGCCATTATCTTTCTTATAAAAATCAGGAGTTCAAGAAAAGTGTCAAGCTTTATATGAAATGGGAAAACACTGAAAGCAACTTGGTGCATTTTAGAAATGTAAAAAAAAAGGGGGGGGCATTGTAGTGGAATAGTTTAATTCTCTGCCTGCAGTGCTGGTTCTAGTTGCAGCTACTCTTCCAATCCAGCTCTCTGCTATGGCTTGGGAAAACAAGTGCTTGGGCCCCTGTACCCGCGTGGGAGACCTGAAAGAAGCTCCTGGCTCTTGGCTTCGGATTGACACAGCTCCAGTCATTGTAGCCATTCGGGGAGTGAACCAATAGATGGAAGTCCTTTCTCTCTGTATTGCCTCTCATTGTCTGTAACTCTACCTCTCAAATAAATAAATAAAATTTTTTTGAAAAAAAAAGTCTTACATATTTGTTATATCTTTTCTAATAGATCTTATTTTCTGGCGCCTCAATATCTCTACTACTATTTGGTCTAAACCCAGTCTCTAAATTCCTCCACCCCACCCCAATGCTGTAGTCTCTCAGTTGGTCTTCTGCTTTCTCTTCTTTTCCTATAGGCTTTTGTCATATAGCACCTGGTGATTTTTTTTATTCCATAGATTGGAGGGTGCCTATTCTCCTTTTAAAACCATTCAATAGCTCTCCAGTGTAATTTATTAGTCTGGAAAAATCATTTATTTATTTATTTGAGAGGCAGCAGAGAGAAAGACACGGAGAGAGAGTGTTCCCATTTACTGGTTCTCGCCCCCAAATGCCTGGGATAAGTCAGGGCTGAAGTCAGGAACCAAAAACTCAATCCAGGTCTCCCACATGGTTGGCAGGAGCCCAGCTACTTAAATCATTACCAGTGCTTCCCAGGGTCTGCAGTAGCAGGGACTGAGGAAGCCAGGTACCCCCGTGGGACATGGTGTCTTAGCTGGCATATCAGTCACCAGGTTAAATGCCACCACCCCTGACTTACTCTACCCCTGCCCTGCTGCAATTTAAATTCATATTCCTCACCTTCACCTTTATGTGGGTGCCTCATTGTCTGGCCTGCACCCTTCTATCCCATCCCCTCTACTCCCTTCCTCTTTCCCTGTCCTGGAGCCACGCTGGACTTCCTGCTGCCCCTCCAGTAGCTCACAAGGCTTAAGTTGCGTGATTGGTGAAGGCTCTTCAGAGAGATGAGAGTTAGGGATACCAATCTTCACAGGGTCCTGCCAGGTATTCTTTGGTGCACTACTTGTGCAGGGGTGTTTGTGTTTTGTGCTGGTGGAGACAAGCCAGCCTGCTGTCATCTGAACTCCACCGCATATAACTGACCCTCCTGTCTCTGATTGTATGCTCACCAGCCCACCTTTTGATGTGTATGTGGCTTCCCACATACTTCCCTCCATGGAGAACATGCCCTGCCCAGAGCCTGTGGGTCTCTGGAAACTCCTGGCACTTAAATTGTAACTAATTCAAGTTATAAACCAATGCGCTGGCATTTGAATCACATATCAGTTTCTTTTGCAATTCATTATTGTGTGGCAGCATCAGTTTTCTCCCTCTGGGATAAACAGCCCCTCCTAGATGGAGATGCCCCCTGAGCTCTCTGTGCAGCTGGGCAACTGTGCTTCCCCTTCACACATCCACGTTTCATTAATGGGTCCGTAAGTGCTTCATGTGACACTTCTGTGACTGAACTCACCAAAACTTGCTCCTGTGATGGCACACCCTTCCTGGATGGGCAGAATTTCCTCCCACCCCTTGGTTCAAGCTGAGGGCCTGGACTTCATCTTTGCCTTCTTCTTCCTCTCCTTCTCACCCTCTACCTAATTTGTTACCTACAGGTTAACTAGGCTTCCTTATGTATCTTTTCATAGTCTGTCCTCTTAGCTTCACCTCTACTGCTATAAACCTAGTTCAAGCCACCACCTGTCTGCCTCCCTTGTCTTCCTGTGTGCCTCTGTTCCTCACACTGCAGGCAGAGCCATATTCTTACATGCATTACCCTTCTTGGCCCTTCCCTCCCTACAGTGTCTTTCCAACATCTGAAAGATAAAGGTCAGATTCTTTTACATTCTTCCACAGGCCTGTGTCAACCGTCTCTTCTTATTCTTCCAGCTGCTGGCTGCTACCTCTGCCACCTGCCACTCTTCTTTCAGTTCCTGCCATCTGGTTTTTGCCTCCAGGCCTTGGTATATATACTTCCATCTGTTTTGGAGCATCTTTCTTTCTTCTCCTTCCCACCTACCTGAGTAGCAATGCTTCAGGTCTCATCTTGACTTAAAGTTCCTTCTGAGGATGACTTACCCAGTAACTCTAGTTGGTTATCTGTATGGTGCGTTCCTGTATCACCTGTGCTCTGAGCATAGCACTTTTTATGCTAATGGTGACAGCAGCCAGGCCTAACACATCTTACATCCTGCTTACCATTCACCAAGCACCCTTCTAAGTTCTCTAATGTTATTAAGTCATATAATCTATAAAATAGTTTGACAAGGTAGATATTATTATTATTCACATCTTATAGAAGAGGAATTGGAGGTGCAGGATGTTTATATAATTTACCCAAGTTTACACAGCTAAACACTGAGGGAGAAGGACTTTGAACCCAAGCAGATGGGCACTGAAGTTTGTACTCCCAAACATTTTGCATTTCTGCTTCTCTAGGAATTGGCTCCTTGCTTTTGGTTTCTCCCACTGGACTATAAACTTGCTGAAAGCAGTTTACTGCTGTATTCCTAGAATCTCATACAGTACCTTGTAAGTGCTCAGTAAATACGTGTTGAATGGCTGGATAAATAAAAATAGCTTTCCAGTTCAATCATCTATATTCTCTGAACCCTTAGATTTTATTTAAAGATTAAGTTGAATGTAGATGGTAAGCACACATGAGTGCTAAATCATCAGAATCCAATACCAATTTCTACCCTTCCTAGCTGTAGAAGAGTGGGCAGGGGTCCTAATCTCTATTTCTTCAACTGCAATGCAAGATTAAAAATTCAGTTTATATGATTGTTCTAAGTAGAAAATGAGGTAATAAATTTAACAGTAAATGCCACAAAGAAAATATTGAATAAATATGCTGCATTAGAAGTTATAATGCAGCACAGTTATTTCTTTGCATTTAGAACATAAAAAAGAGAATTATCACTATTCTAAATAGGAATTAATGTAAAATATTGGAGTATTTTATAATGTTGTAAAAACTACAATTTTAGTTGGTAGAGCTCCTGGTGGGTGTCTGGGCTTCCATGAAACCTAAATAAACCACCCACAAGGGGGCACTGTTCTAAAATACCACTGAATTAAACCCAAGGGTTAATGCAATTTAGGCATTTGAGAAGCTGATGTGATAATCCCACCTCGCTGTGCTGTAATCCCCCCGACTTCCTTGCCCCAGCCAATGGCCTTATGCTTCTTGTGTAGATGATTGTACTAAATTCAGCTTGGAAAGTAGCATGGGAGCCCTGGAAGAGCTGGCCAGGGATTTCAGGTAACCGGTTAGCAAGTGTCCTTGTTTTTAGAATAACTGAATTTGAAAGTGGCAAGGTACTTACTCTACTATGACAGGCTTTAAAGGGGTTTGTTAAAAGTCTGATGGCCAGGCTAAATGCAGTCACCCATTTCAATAGGTGATTTCTCAGGAAGGTCTACCTGAATAGTAGCCCATTACCAAGGCTGTCAGCCCTGCTGGCATCTCGCTCCAGCAAATATCTTGATGAAGACTTTTGACTGACACATGCCAAAGAGGACTGTCTTGGAGCAGCACCCAGTTGTATGGTGAACTTCACATCCATGGTACAATAATTTAGTTAAAAAAGTACTTAGATTAACGTGGCATTTGCTTCCTCTCCCATACTTGAGTACTGGTCCTTCTTTTGATAGATAGCGCTGGACTTTTAGTTTTTGTCCGAGGAGACAACCCATCAGAAATTCCTTCCATCCATCCCAGACGTCCAAGCGAAGTGTGGTGCCTGGGGATCAGAAGAGGCAGTTTATGGTTCCAACCCACCACTGCAGCTCTCCATCCATAAAACTTCTAATGACAGCTTCCCCAAGCAGAGCTAGATAAATGCAAAACAAAAAGCAACCTTGGAACTAGGAGATAGGGATGCTATTTTTAACCTTGGCTTTTATTGGCTTGCAAAAGCTGCTTAGCTTCTGTGCCCTGCCCTTTTCTCATCTGTTGAGTGCTTGCATATAGTATTGAAATGCTCTTTGAAGCTATCTTAAAACAATCCTGTGGATGTTGATTTAATGCTGATATATGTATTATGAAGGAAGCTAGAGGCATTATGTTGGAAGAGGGAACCAAGGAGATGGTGGCAGGGCAAATGGCCTTCTTGGGCTCTCGGATTATTAGTGGGCTGTGAGGGAGCTGAATGGTGCTTGCCAGTTAATCCTTCATGAAACAGGGGCTTTTCTGTGTTGTGAATGTAAAAACCTAAGCCCTCACTGCTGACAAACTGATCCTTCACTCCTCAGAAGTCCAGCCTTGCCTGGCTTCTGTGACACCACATTCCTCTGTCCATGGGCTGCTGTTTTCTGGCATTGTTTCCCCAACCTTCTGCTCTGCTCTCTGCACACTCCTGGGATGAAACTCAAACCCTCCCTATCTGGCCCACTCAGCCTCTCTCGTCCCTCTCCACTCTGCCTCACTCACTCTGTTCTGGCCACCTTGACTTTTCATTTGTCCTTCAGACACACCAAGTCCATTCCCAACTCAGGACCTAGTGACTTACTGGTTCTTTCCCTTGAAAGGGCCTACGTCTAGGTTTTTGCAAAGCTGTATCCTCTTTATTCAGCTTTAGATTCAAACATCATGTCTTTGCAGAGGACACTTCTGGGCCACCATAGCTAGGCATTCTCTGCTGCCACCACCTATCCACCTTTGTCACTATACCCCATGGCCTTATTTTTACTTCTTCATAGCCCCTATCATTAGCATTTGAAATCATTTTACTTGTTTGGAGATTTTTCCCCTGTCCCCATTAAAAAAGTTCCCTCAGGACTTGCCACAAAGCCTGGCACATGGCCAGTGGCCACTGATTTACCATGGGGAATCTCAGCTAGTGGCTCCATTGACCACCCATGCGCCACTTACTCCTAAGTCCAAATCTCTAGGCCAGGCCTCTGCTCTGCTGGGGGTATGAGGGACTGCACTACAGCCCATTATTCTAAAAGACCACTCACCATCATGTACCCCCAGCCTGCTCTGCCCCCTTGCTGTTTGTCTCAGGTTGTGGCACCTCTGTCTTTCCTGCTACCTACGCTAGGTGTTGGGAGTTGCTCTTCATTGCTCCCCTTTTGTCAGACCCTACATCTAAACAACGGTGTAGACCCAGCAAGTTTACCTCATGTGGATTTGCAGACTCTGTTTCCGTGCCTCTGTCTTGACTAGTCCTACCTTGTCTCTGGCCTAGTTCACCTCTCACTTAAATCTGCTTTGAGAAACTCTTAACAGCCTCTCTGTCTTTATTGGGTCTCTGCTAAAATGTTGTCTCCTTTTCTAACCAACTATCCTAAAGTAGCCTTCCCTCCCCTTACTGCCTCGGTCTTATTGCCTTACGCTTCCTTTCACTTCATAGTCTATCTCTTTTTAAACGTTTATTTGCTTGAAGGTACTTAAAAAAAGATTTATTTGGGGCTGGCACCGAGGTGCAGTAGGTTAATCCTCTGCCTGTGGCGCTGGCATCCCATATGGTGCCAGTTCTAGTCCCAGCTGCCCCTCTTCCAATCCAGCTCTCTGCTATGGCCTGGGAAAGCAGTAGAAGATGGCCCAAGTCCTTGGGCCCCTGAACCCATGTGGGAGACCTAGAAGAAGCTCCTGGCTCCTGGCTTCGGATTGGCACAGCTCCAGCCGTTGTGGCCATTTGTGGAGTGAACCAACGGAAGGAAGAACTTTCTCTCTGTCTCTCCCTCTCACTGTCTGTAATTCTACCTCTCAAATAAATAAAAGAAATCTTTAAAAAAAATGAAAAAATAAAAAAGATTTATTTTTTTGAAAGGCAGAGTTAGAGAGAGAGAGAGAGGGAGAGAGAGAGAGAGAGAGAGATCTTTCATCAACTGGTTTGCTCCCCAACTGGCTGCAGGCCTGGGCTGGGCCAGGCCAAGCCAGGAGCCAGGAGTTTCATCCAGGTTTGCCACATGGGTACAAGGGCCCAAGCACTTGGACTGTCTTCCTCTGCTTTCCCAGGCACGTTAGCAGGGAGCTGGATCAGAAGTGGAGCAGCCACAACACAAACTGGCACCTGTATGGGCTGCTGGCACTATAGGTGGTGGCTTAACCCTCCATGCTGCAGCGATGGCCCCTGCTTGAAGATTCTTGCCTCTGCCACTGAGTAGCATGCTTCAGGAGACTGGGGATGTTGTCACTGTGCCCCCTCTCCTTTGTGGGGCTAGCTCATGGTGGATGCTCAGTAAACATTTGTTGAATGATGTCTTGTCCAGCTCCTCAATCCCCCACTGACCACGTACTGCTCTCCTAACTCAGCAGCCTGGCTTGAATTTCTGCATGCACACCAAGCTGTCTCTGGCCTGGGGGACCTCTCTTGGTGGCCATTCTTTCTGAACTCTTCTGACCCCTTCCCTACATTCTCCAATTCAGATTATGCTGCGACCCTGGCATCACTTTCTCCGTAAAGCCCTCCTTGATGACGCCTTCTCCTTACCTCCCCAAATAGGTTGAAGGGCTTCTCCTCAGCCTCCAATATATATTCTGAAACTCTATCATTGAACATACTTGCTGCTTTGGAATTGCTGGGTATAAACACTAATGGAGAACTCTGAGCCCAAGAATCATGTCTAGTCTAGTCTTAGAGGCCTAGTTTTAATTATACCTTTGGGTTGCCATAGGTCCTCAATAAAATGGGATTTACTATACAGAAAGACAATGGCCAGACATGCATTAGGCACCATTCAAGGTGGGCCATTCCCCATCTTCCTCGGGAGCCCCAGGATATCTCTTTCTTGTGCTTTGTGTTGCTTTATATGTCTTCTCCCTGTGTCTTCTCCCTCTCTCTACTGACAGTTTGCCCCTGCTTATTTATGGTTCCTGTTCCAACTTTGGCATACATACAATATTGATTTGTGTGACTCAATCCTGCTTCATGATAACTTTCATTTTTTTCCTTACCAATAACCAGCTTCATCTCTCTATGTTTCCCAATTACACCTCCTACAACTAAAATTAATTAATAATAATAATGACTAATGTAAGGGTGGAAAGGAATGATTAGCTTTCCTTACTCCTCACAAAGTTCATAGCTGAAACTCCCATTAACAAAAGGCAGGTTAATAAGAGAAAGGCATGACAAATTTATTTATTTATATGACACAGAGACTTTCAAAATGAAAACTTAGGGCTGGCATTGTGGTGCAGCAAGTTAAGCCTCTGCCTGTGAGTCCGGCATCCCATATGAGTGCCGATTTGAGTCCCACCTGCTCCACCTACCATCCAGCTCCCTGCCTATGAGCCTGAAAAAGTAGTGGAGGATGGCCCAAGTCCTTGGACGCCTGCACCATGTGGGAGACCCCGAAGAAGCTCCAGGCTACTAGCTTCAGTCTGGCCAGGCCTTGATCATTGCAGGCATTTGGAGAGTGAACTAGCAGATGGAATATCTGTCTCTTTGTCTCTCCTCCTCTCTTTATAATTCTGCCTTTCAAATAAATAAAAAATAATTAAAAAAAAAAGAAATGAAAACCCAAAGACCCAGGATTAGGTTTGATGAATCATGGACAGCCATGTGAAATGTGATTGGACAAAAATAGTATTTTCTAATGGTAATAGATGGATGAAGGAAACCTAGCAAGGCCTCTTCGTGTGACATTCCTTCCTCCCAGGTGTAGAGCAGGACCCTCTGGATTGAGGGCTGATGAGTTACTATCAGGCAAGGTAGGTCAAAGCATTTCTTTACGGCCAGCTTCTACACAGAAAGGTAAGAGCAAATGAGAGTAATTTCCTAGGTTTTATGGCTTCCTCAGAGGAGAAATGTTCTATTCAATGTCCCAACTTGAAGAAGAGAAACTCTGGTATCCATACATGCTTCAGGAGAAAAGACAGAAGAACTGGAGAAGATCAAAGAGAATTTGCCCCAGAGACTCGCAGATCTCCTTCAGTCCAAAGTGCTCAGCATTCTAGAGTACCTTACTTTGTGGTGCTGTATTCTGAGCCCTAGCTGAGCATTTATTGTGCGCTTGCCATGTGCTCTACACTGTTCCGAGTGCTTGACATGAGTAAACGAATGTCAAATTTGCGATAATCTTAAGTGTTGAATAGTATGTTTAAAAATATTTACTTATGCCAGTGCTGCGGCTCACTAGGCTAATCCTCCGCCTGTGGCACCAGCACCTCAGGTTCTAGTCCTGGTTGGGGCGCCAGATTCTGTCTCGGTTGCTCCTCTTCCAGAACAGCTCTCTGCTGTGGCCCAGGAAGGTAGTGGAGGATGGCCCAAGTGCTTGGGCCCTGCACCCGCATGGGAGACCAGGAGGAAGCACCTGGCACCTGGCTCCTGGCTTCGGATCGGCACAGCACGCTGGCCGTAGCAGCCATTTGGGGGGTGAACCAACAGAAGGAAGACCTTTCTCCCTGTCTCTCTCTCACTGTATAACTCTGCCTGTCAAAAAAAATTTACTTGTTTTCATTTTATTTGAAAAGAGAGAAAGAGAAAGGAAGAAAGAGAGAGACATCTTCCATCCATGTGTTCACTTCTCAAACACCTACAACAGTTAGAACTAGGCCAGGCCAAAGCTAGGACCCTGGAACTCAATCCAGGTTGGGTCTCCTTCTTTGATGGCAGGGACCTAACTATTTGAGCAATCATATGCTGCCTCCCAAGGTGTGCCTTAATAGGAAGCTGGATTGGAAGTGGAGTAGCTGGGGCTTGAACTAGGCACACCTTTATGAGATGCAAGAATCCAAAGTAGCATCTTTTTAAAAAAAAATTGAATTTCCTTGGAAAGCAGAGGACATAGA